TGAGTTCTAAACAAGCACTCTCACTCCACACACCTCCTGCACTCACTCCACCCAATCGAAGCATCCTCAAACTCTCTGGTTTTCTAAGCAGCCAAGGAACATAATTCCTACCGTCCTGGAGAACTCACTCCAGTAAATGTAGAGAATTGAGCTGTGATGAGTTTTTTTTTTTTTTCCCCCAATGGTTAATGCTATACTTACAGATTACTATTCAATCAGGTTCTATATTTGGTGAGAGTAACTAAATGACCTTTAACTTTTTTTCACTCTAAGAATATAGTATATGATTGTGCTATCTTCTTAGATTCTATCTATATATGTAAATCCTCTAAGGACTCAACTCAGTGTATGCATTTCAACTATTTCGCCTATGCTGGGGTCAAAGTTTCCTCCTTGTAGTATGCCTTGAGATGAAAAACAAAATGATGAACAGGAACAGCTCTTGTTTCTTTCTCTCCTTAAGCACTAATACAAAGAGCATTCACCTCCACCTCTGTATTAAATGTTAAGAAACTTAATCCTAAATATCTAAGGAATTAGACATTGGATAAGTTAGGCACAACCTTGAAGATACTGAAAAGCATTATCTCCAGAAACTAACAGTGATCTCTCTTGAGAAATTTTAATAAGTAAAGATAAATAGTAAGTCATTGTTTATTAAATACTTCTTCAGCTCCTATACCCCCAGGAAAGAATGAGGACCCACTGCACCATGTTCCAGAATTAAGGAGAGTTCACATACTTTCAAAAGTGTTTAACTTTTAGAAGTAGGCTGCTCCTGGAAGAATCTGGCTTAATACTTTTAGCCTTGATCTATAAAGACAGAATCTGAAAATGTGCAAAATTATCTCTGTATCACACCTGGTCTAATAAATATACTTTTGAGAAAGCAGGAGGGAATAAATACTTTTTCAGGACCAGACACTTCTACACATTATTTCTAATCCTCAAAACAACGCTGGTTGTACTATCCCCCATTTTACATATGAGGAAGCTTCAAGAAGCTAAAAGACTTGTTGAATACACAGTTACAAATGGCAGAGCCAAAATGAACATCCACCTTTTGGAATCCAAAGTCCTGGTTGTTTCTGCTATTGATGTGCCTCTCAATTTTTCAAAGCAGACAATTTCATTATTTGTGAGCTATATTAACCTATTGCATGTCAGACACATTTAATAATACGCTTTGAAATTTTTATTGCTTTTAAATGCTACTTTTAAGACACAAGGCAACAATTTTACCCTTGGAAAGCTGTAAAGATTGTAACACAAAAGCTATGAAATTCAAATTTTAGTTTCTTTAGTAAAAATGGGGTGTAAGCTTACAGAACAGAATGAAACTATTTAATATCCAGGGTAGCCTGAAGACCAAATATTTAACAAAAACCTAAATTCCTGAAACAGCCCCTTCTTTCTCTTAATGTACATGCTTGTTATTTTGACAGGTAGCTAAGCATCATATCCATTCTAAGAAATTTTATTGGCTAATGTTTATAAATTACCCTAATTATTTTCACTAAACCTGCCTAATTTGAACATTTCTCCAAAAATGATCTAATGTTTTCAAGGTTCTGACATGTGCTTCTGACTAAAATTTACAAATAGCCAAAATTTAAAAATTAAGCAACGATAAAGTGGCCATCTGGTTTACCACAGACAAAAGAAAAATATTTTTCAGAACACATCCACGCAAATGGCTAAAATGAAAAAGATGAAAAATACCAAGCGTTGGCAAGGATATAGAACCACCAGAACTCCCATACACTTTTGGTGGAAGTATAAACTGGTACAGCCATTTTGGAAAACTGTTTGGCAATATCTATTAAAATGTAATATATGCATATTCTACAACCAAGAAATTCCGCTTTTATTATATCCCCGACAGATATGTGTACATTTGTTCACCAATGAATACATACTAGAATGTTCCTAGCAGCACAATTTATCATAGCCCTAAACTAAGAAACTATCCAAATGTCCATCAACAGTAAAATGTATAAATAAATACAATATTATACGGCAATGAAAATGGAGGGTCTACAGCTTGATGCAACAATAGGGATTAATCTCACAAAAATAATGTTGAGCTAAAGAAGCCAGACATAAAAGCATACATACTATGTAATTCCATTCATATAAAATATAAAAACAGAAAATACTGTACTGCTAGAAATCAGAACAGTGGTTACGCTGTGGTAGAGGTAATGATGGAAAAAAACACAAGAGAGCTTTTTGGGTACTGGTAATATTCCGTTTCTTCACATGGGTGCTGGTGACAGGGTATGCTCGGTTTGAAACGAGTAATAGATGAGAACCATTATAGCAACTGAGTGATTAAAAGGCACAGTTCTAGAATCAGAGCCTAAATTTGAATTTCAGTTTCATCACTTACTAGTTATAATTTTGAGCAAGTTATTTAACCTCTCTGTGCCTTATTTCTTCATCTAGAAAATGAGCCTAATATTTACCTCATAGGGTTAGTGTGATGATTAGATCATCCTAAGACTTATAAAGTGCTTATTTGCACAGTTGATTATTATTAAAATTTGTTAAGTAAATAAAAGTGCTTTATTCTGAAGCAATACAAGAAAAAGAAGAAGAGAAACAAATACATATATGATTTGACTATTACTAGAAAATGCACAAAATAATTATTTAGGAATTATTTGAAGGTGACAATAAGTATTCTTATCTCCCTTCCCCCTCCTCCCTCTCCCCTCTACCCCTATGCCTCCTCCCCCATCAACCATTCAACACTGAGGAAATCAGAAATTTCTCCCAATATCTGTCATACCTATTACTACTTCATCTAAAAGAAATACTTTGTTCACTAAGGATTTACTGAATGCGCCAGCATATACATTTAAAATTTTCTTTAAAAATCCTATCTTCACAGAGATATGAAGTACATAGAATGTGTGTACTACAGGGGAAAGTATACCTGTCAGGATGCTGGATTCTATTCCTCTATACTTTACCTTACAACTTGGGCAAGTCATTTATCATCTCTAGGCTTTAGTTTCCTCAGCCATAAAATGAGAGGGGTTATTAACCTAGTTCCAGAACGCCTTGCAGGATTCAGGCATGTGCTTCAGGGATTCATAACCCGCGCCCCCCTCCCCCCTCCAACCAAGAAGTTATATAAAAAAATTATCTGTTCACATTATGTGGATTTTTCTAGAGGATTCTATGACATATCAAATTGTCATACAAGTTGTGGCCTCCAAATCAACCACAATTCATGTTTTACTAAGCACTTACTGTGTGCAAAGCACTGTGCTAACTCCTTACATATATTAACTCCTGTAACCCTCACAATAACCCTTTATATTAGATACTATTATCCTTATTTTACAGTTGAATAAAGTAAACCAGAAAAGGCCTGGGCTCTTAAACACAATGCTGTGTTAGGTTAGATCATCTCTAAACCTTAAAATTTTCTGATTCTATGTTCACTCAAATTGTTTTCCTTTAAATTTTCTGTCTTTAGCCCTATTTTTATTTAAATCTTTACACAGAACCACCAAAGTCATGGAACACCCAGATGACTGCTATCTGAAAAAGAATACATTAGGGAGTTAACACTATAAAGGGTCCAGAGGCACCTTCCAGCTCCAGCAGCCAATCTGCTTTTACTTTCATAAAGTGGTGGTCAACCAAAAGATGTATCTGAATCTATTATTAAAGCCTAAAATCAAAGTAATAGTAAATAGGTCTGAGTACCAATCAGAAAAGGGGACATGGTGGCAGATACAGTGTCTCATATACTACACACCAACACAATGAGAAGGCCAGGAAAGATACATTAGTGCAAGGCACGGATGACCCCTACTCCCACCTCCTGAAAACCACCACCAACTGTCCAAGGATTGAATTAGTCTTCAAATAAGATACAAAGCAGGATAAATGTGTTAAAGCACCACCAACTCCTGCCTGAAATAGAGTGAAAGCCTAGCTTCCAATATTTGTGGACACCAGTTCTGACAATCTGCAATCCCAGAGGTCAGCAGTCATCCAGTTACACCTGCCAACTGTGGTGCCTGCCACCACTTTTCTGCCCAAATTACTTACGAACATAACACTGCTTAATAAATGGCTGCAAAGCAGAAGTGGGCATTGTTCTTTCCATAGGCTGTCAAAAAAGCTTTATATCTTAAAGGGAAGGTTGTTAAAACTTTATGCCCAACTCTCATGACCTTTCTCCATTTAGTTTGTGTAAGAAAAAGAGAAGCAAAGGAGGGAGAGGGATCAATGGAACGGCCCTGGGTGCAGAGATGGCATCTTTGTCAAGGGTGATGCAACAGGGTCAGCCAGACGATGAAGACAAGCTGGGAGCTTCTAAGAAAACCAGCGTCAGAGGTGGAAATCTGAGCGGAAAATGGGTTACAAAGAATTAGGTTCGAGGGTTATTTAGAACGGGCCGGAGATAAAGGGTCTAGTCTGGAGCAAACTGAGGAAGGAGAGGAGGCACGGAGGGCTTGGTGGGGCGAGTAACGAGGAGGGCAGAAGGCTGGAGGGAGGGTCAGAAGGTCCAAAGTAGAGAGGAAACAGCAGGGTGGGCGGGAAAAGGGTGCAATCCGGCCTGGGGGTCGGGGGGCTCGGAGGGACGGTCATAGGGCCCGGAAAACGTGCAGAAGAGGTCGGGGTGACCAGACTGGCGGTGTGTGAACTGAGGGAGGGGGCAGCCGACCGGGAGATCTTTGAGTGTCGGTAGGGCCAGGGAAGCCGTTAGGGTAGAAGGACAGCCTGGAGCATCAGCGCAAGGGCGGGAGCGCCCCTGTACCCAAGGGCCCAGAGCGAGGGAAAAACAGCGGTGACAACAGTTGGAGACAGCGGAGCGGGGAGGAGGCTAGCCAGCTCGAGTAGAGGTGGGGGCCGCCACGAGTCCCGGCTCGGGCTGAAGAGGGAAGCCGAGCCATGAGCACGGCGTCCGGGAGGCGGGTTGAAGGGGAGTTAGGAAGGGCCCTGGGACCGCTGACGGCCGGCGCTGGCGCTCTCACCGGGACAGGTGCTTCAGGATCTGCTTCTTAATGATCCCGGCCATGCCGGAGCCGCGGCCTGCGTGGAAGGCAGGAGGGCAGTTGTGGCCTCCTCAGCCGTGAAAAGGCGGCCCCCTCACCTCGCCGCAGCGCGGCGACCAAATGCCGCCGCCATGGCGCTCTCTCGCCCCTGCCCGGGCCCTTGGAACTCCGCCACGATCCCACCCACCCGCGCGGGGC